CGCTGTGCCAAGGGGGCCGGTCCAGCTTTCTGGGGGGGAGGGGGCCGGGCCTGCCCCGCCCCATCACACTTTCGCGCAGGGGTGGCCCACGGCACAAGGAGCCACACAGGCCCTAGGGAAAGGGTAGCCCGAGGTGACCCAGGAAGGAGCTGGGGGTGAGCCAGGCATCAGCTTGCCGGTCCCAGGAGGCTCACAGGTGAGGCCTCATCTCCTCACCTGTCACTCAGTCCCCTCATCCAGAGGTGAGCCCCTCCCATGAGGTGAACCCCACCTGTGAGCCCCACCTGACCACACCTGTGTGGTCAGCCCCACCCGAGACACCAACCCCTCCCCTGCGCAGTCAGCCCCATGCCTGACCCTCATCAGGCCCCCCAGCTGGGTGGACCCTAAAGCTGACCGTGCCCCAGGCTCTGCTCAGCACTGCTGGGGGAACCTGAGCAATGCTCTGGACGTCTGGAGGACTCAGTTCCCTCATTTGTGAAACGAGGTGCCCAGCCAGACCACAGGGGGTGAGGAAGGTCATGGAGAAGCCTGGTGCAGACACGGTGCTGCTGAAGGGCAGGGCGGGCCCCCCTCCTCGGCAGCTCCTTCCTTCCCCGCATTTAGCCACCACCCAGGGTCGCTGCAGAGACGTGGTCTGCAGACTCCGGTGCCCCGACAAGCCCTGACCCCAGGCGATTCACGTCCCTCGAGCTGCTTCTGTTAACAGTACCCAGCAATCCAGGTCTGTTCGCAGTCCCCCCCCTTTGGAGACACAGGAAGCGTTACAGCTCTAGCCCCGACAGCACACGGCACCGTGGGGGCCACCTGCAGTGTCCTGGCACTCCCAGGAGCACCCGTGACCGAGCAGGGCAGGTGACGTGTGTCCAGGGCCTGTGTGCTTCTGGCCACTGCGTGTGGCCGGCCACTTCTCTATCACCAGAAGCCTCAAAGGAGCCAGGCTGCTGCCCCCTGTCGGGGGGGAGTGTGGACCCCCTCCGCAGTGCACTGGACTCAGCAACAGGCGGACAGGACAGTGGGGGACAAGGGCTCTGCGTCTCCACTTCCCACCACTCCTCTTTCTAAGGCACTTGCCCTGGGTCCCTCCCCCTCACCCACGGGCCCCTCTCCATCCCTCCTCCGAGAAGGACAGCGGGACACAGATCTCAGAAATGGGCTACCCGGCAAGGGGGCTGGTGTGGCACATGCCACAGAAGAGGCTGGGTGCCCTCGCTCAGGACACGTTCTGTGACCCTGCGGGATCTAGTTACAGAGTGGCCACCAGGCTTCCCAACCACGCTCGGGTGCCCGGACGTCCCAGATGACAGGGGCATGCCCCACAGACCCAACGCAGCAGCCCAACCCTCTAGATACCCTCCACCCCATCCCCACCCCGCATCCCACCTGGGAGCCTAACCCATCTCCAGCATACTCTGTGTACGCCCCTCACCAAAATGCATTCCCTCCGGGAATGTGGCCATCCCCTCCACACCACTTCTGGAGCGCCGGGCTCTGGCCAGAGTGTGGGAGACGTGGCAGGGAACCCAGTGGATCCAGGCCCTGCCCCCGGGGCCTATAAGTCTGGTGGCAAAGACAGTCATAGTACAAAGAGGGTGTTTGAGTCCCACAATCCACTGAGGCAGAGAGCAGACCCACTGAGGAAAGGTCACCAACAGACAGTTCAGGAAAATCATTTCCAGACAGAACAGACATATGCAAAGGCCCAGGGGCATGAGGCACTGGAAGAAGCCAAGGGCCTAAGGAGAGCTGGTGGGAAGGAGCAGACAGGGCCAGACGGTGCGTCAGGCCAGGGGAGAACTTGGGGCCTACAGAAGGCTGCCCAGCAGCCTGACGGAGGATCTGGGAGCAGGAAGGGCACAGAGCTGCTAGTGCCCTCCAGGAACAAGCCGTCGGCAGAGAGACGCCTTCAGACTTGGGGGTTTCCAAGCTGGGCGGGAGGACCCAGGGCAGCTTCACAGAGGAGGGGGCCTGGGACCTACAGGTTGTGTGGCCGGGAAGGGGAGGGAGCGAGGTGGAGAGGGGAGGTCTCGGGCAGCACTGTGCCTGTGGGCCACTCCTAAGCACCTTACTCCCCACACGATCAGGAACGAGTACACACTAGTTTCATCCCTGTTATGGCTGGGGACACTGAGGCATGGGTGGGCGCGGTGTGGTGCCAAGCCCCAGCCCACCGTTGGCCCACGCTGAGCACGAAGGCGAGAGTCTGCACAGAGACCCTGTCCCCTTGGCCCTCCCACTGGTCCCCTCAGCTAGGAAAGCCAGGAAGGACTGGGGAGGGCCCGAGGAGCCTGAGGCCCCCGCACAGGGGAGGCGACCAGTCCTCCGTGTAGACCGCTCCTCCCTCGGACAGACGTGCTGAGCAGCAACGTGCAGAGCAGCGGGGCGTCTGGGATGGGCTGCAGGACGGGGGTTACAGACGAAGCAGAGTCGGCGGAGAGTCGACAGCTGTCGAAGCTGGGGGACCATGCTGTCCCCTTCTCTCTATTTGGAGATGTTTTAAAGTTCCCCTGATAAAGAGTTACAAAGGGAACAAAAATGTCCCAGACCCCCCCAGTGCCGGGCAGTGCAGAGGCCTGAGCATGAGGGGCAAAGCAGCAGGGGCCCCGAGGGTAGGTGGGACGGGGTGGGCCAGCCACTCTGGCTCCCCACGGCCCTGCTGCGGCCCTGCTCCCACCACCCATCCCAGGCTGTGCCCAGGACACGTGTGTGAGGACATGGGCAGGAGCAGGGCTGACGGGAGCCCCAAGCTCCGCACAGCTCCCTGGCCGCACGCTGGCAGGGGCTCCAGGGGCCTGGCCTCAGGGACACGGAGGCAACAAAGCAGGCTGTCAGGCCAGGAAGGGGTGAGCAGGTGCACTCCTGCAGGGGCAGAGTGAGCAGGTGCAGTGGTACTCTCCCAACACACCTGCAAGTTGAGGCTTCTGCTGGTCCTGACCCTCCCCGTTTGTAGAGCACTTTGAAGGCACCCATGGGGGAGGGGGAAGGGTACTGCAGGGGAGCCGAGTGATTCCACAGAAACATACCCACATCCCTTTCTGCTTGAGTCTCACAAACTCCTATGCATCCCTCAAGACCCTCCTACTGCTCCGTGCCCTCCCCCCTGCTCATGCCCACACCTGGAGTTGCAGTGGCTTACGAGGATGTTTGCTCAGTGCCAAGCATGGGGAGAGGGACTGCGTTGACAGTCTGGGGGACATCTGAGGGGGGCTGCCTCTCCTCCTCCCACGGTCGGGAACAAGCCTATGTTCCTCCTGCCTTAGGGACTCCACCCCTGCAGCCATATCCTCCCAAACCACCGCCAGCCGGCATCCACTAGCATCCCCCAGCTGGTGTCAGGGACCTCGGGAGCTCCGTGCAGGCATGTGTGCTGCATGTGTGCGTGTCTGGTCTGCACGTGTGCTGTGTGTGCACGTGTGTGTGTGTGCATGTGTGCTGCATGTAGGCATGTGTGCTGCGTGTATGGTGCGTGTGCTGTGTCCGTGCGTGTGTGTGCACTGCGTGCGTGCATGAGTGTGCGTGCGTGTGCTGCGTGCACGTACATGTGTACATGTGTGCTGCGTGTGTGCTGCGTGTGTTCCGTGTGTGCTGCGTGCACGTGTGCGTGTTCCGTGTGTGCTGTGTGCACATGTGTGCGTGTGTTCCGTATGTGCTGCGTGCACGTGTGCTGCACGTGTGCGTGTTCCGTGTGTGCTGTGTGCACATGTGTGCGTGTGTTCCGTGTGTGCTGCGTGCACGTGTGCTGCATGTGTGTGTGCATGTGTGCGTGTTCCGTGTGTGCTGTGTGCACATGTGTGCGTGTGTTCCGTGTGTGCTGCGTGCACGTGTGCTGCACGTGTGCGTGTTCCGTGTGTGCTGTGTGCACGTGTGTGTGTGCTGCGTGCACATGTGTGCGTGTGTGCGTGCCAGGGCATGCTCCGTGGTGGCACCTTGTCCAGGCACACGTGCTCTGGGGCTGCCTTGGCTCAAAGAGTCTCAGGAGATCCACCGCATTCCCCCTCCCAGCCCAGCCACCACAGCCAGCCCCACAGAGGCCAGCAGAGCCCACCGCTGTCCCCCTGGGGAGGGGGTGGGCTGGTCATCCAGCGACAGTTGGGAGCTCATGCTTCTGGGTCTGCCCAGAATCTCCCTGCTCATGCCCGCATGGGGGCAGCAGGCTCTGAGGACGTGGGACTGACCCCCCACCCAGGCCCTGCAGGCCCCCCACCGTGAGCTAGGACAGGAGAGCCCACCCCTGGAAACAGGCCTGAAGAAATCGCACAGGGGACTCAACGGCGTGCCCTGCAGGCCACCAGACTGACCTGCAGACCCCACAGACTGGACCCAACATCTTGGGGGGAAGGTAAGCCAGCACTACCCAAGTCCAGCGCCTCTCAGGCCAGAGAAGGAGCCTCTCAGCTCAGATCTGTGTCTGGACACTAACCGGGGGTCCCTGGGCAAGCGAGGCGGCACCAGACTGGGGTCTAGCTTGACTCTCTCTGCCCAGGGATCACCCGGCCTCCTCCTGACTGGCCCTGGGGTCCCTCAGGGGGCCTGCTGGATCCCTGCCCCTTGCCCCCAACTGTGTACTCTGAGAAACCTGCTGAGGGCAGCACCCCACCACACATCACTGTTGGACCCCAAGAGGGCATGGTTCTGTTGTGTGCCCAGCCTGGGCCACCACCCAGCAAGGGCTCCAGAGGGACAACAAGGTAGACAGGTTCCTGCCCAGGGCCAGCTCCTGCCCAGCACCACACTCAACCCTGCAGGCCCAGAGTCCTGCCCTACTTCGGCAAACCGTTCCCTGGAGAGGTCCCATGGTCCAGCAACCCCATAGCATCGGTCACGAGACGTCTTCAGACCTCCGAGTGGCCCCACTGCCAGCCCTCCAGGAGCTCCCAGACCAGAGTCAAGGAGTGACCCCAGTCTGAGAGGATGGGTTCCTCTCCCTGCTGCTGGCCCCACCAGGCTGGAGGAGATGCCACCTACGGGAGCCCGGCCCCCACCAGCGCAGCCGTGCCTACCTCTGGCCGACAGCTTCTTGGTGTTGATGATCTTGGCTGCATACTCATGGCCGGTGCAGAGCTTGACACAGCGCCGGACCACAGAGAAAGCCCCCCTGGGGAGGAAATGGGGGACAGAGACAGAGGAGAGTCGATTAACCTCCCTGAGAGCACCTAGCACCCGACCCCAAAGCCCAGCCTGGGCCATGACCTGTTGCGGGCAGGGGCACCAGATGCTCCTGGCCCCTGTGCTGGGCGCCTGCCAGAGACCCCCTGCCTGGGGGACACCCAGCTCCTTCTAGACTGTGGCCTTGCCGTCCTTGCTGGATGAAGGGCCTGCCTGGGGTCTCCCAGCGTCCTCCTCTAGCTCTCTGCACCAAACCGTGAGGCCCAGCGAGTCCTCCCCAAAGGCACGAACCAGCCCAGCTCCAGGCAGTGTAGCTGGGACTCATCGAAGGTTCTGGAGGGAGGGAGAAGCATCGTGCCACTCTGCTGCCCAGCTGGAGGACAGGGCCCCTCCCGAGTTGCATGGCAGTGCTGTGCTTCTGAGAGCGGAGGGGGGGGGGCGGCACAAAGGGCCCCGAGCAGGCCGTGCGGGTGCCATCGGGTCCTGTGTGGTATTCCACTTGTCACCAGCCCTGGTTTAATCTGATTTCCTAAGAACGTCACACAGGTCCCCGGGAGTCGGCCGGGAACAGGAAATGTCTCAGGAAGGGTCTCAGTCCAGCTGGGAGGCCACAGGGGACAGGCGGGCACAGTCTTCCACCGTCTTCCTCCCCAAAGGCCCCGCAGGCACAGGCCTCCCCACCATCCACGCAGCCTGATAAACCCACGGCTGCTGTGGGCGCGGGGAACGCAGCGTCTCCCACAGAGAACACTTGCCCCGCAACAGTCCCCCTTCCTCCTGGCTTTGCTTCCTGCAGAGTCGGGGCCCCACGCTCAACCGGAAGGTCATGATCTCCGGACATGCGGTCCAAAGGTCAGCAGCCGCCTCACACCATGTCCCCAGCCTGAGCCGGTCACCTGCTGACGAGGGCTCGTCACACTCTCGCCCCGCCGGTAAGCCAGTGCACGGAGACAGCGTTGACACAGCCTCTGCTCCGACGGCCTGCTGTGACACCGCTCTCCGTCGCGGGCACGTACTGAACCCCATCCGCAAATGGAGCCCAACCCCGCGCACACACACGGGAAGAAAACACGGTGCGCTCGGAGCTCAGAACTCCGCACCGCTTCAGGCGTCCATTGCGGGCCCTGGGACATGTCCCCGCTGATGAGGGGGCACCACTGGATCCTTTCGGAGAAAAAAATTTGTTAACGCGTACTATTCACTTTCCTGAAAAAACGTGAGTATCGCACTAAATCTAACAGTGCGGCTCACCGCAAGCAACTGCTCTGCGCGGGGCTGCGTCCTCGCGTCCCTGAGGGCGGCTGGAAAAGGAGGCGGGGGCTGTTTGTGGGGGAGCGAGCAGGCTGGGGACACACATGGCTCCGTCCACACCCTCAGCCCCTGTGCTCCCTCTCACTACGTCAGAAGACAGGGAAGAGAAGGATGATGTTTTGACCCCATGGGAGGGGAAAGCCAGAAGCTTCCTGCCCATCTGGGTTTGAAGGCTGCTCTGTCCACCCTGCATCGTGTCTCCCCTCAGCTGCAGGAGCAGGAGAGGCTCCCAGGGAGGCCCAAGGGCTGAGCAAGGCCTGCAGGGCCATCTGCCCCCACTGCCTTGGTCTCACGCTCACTGACTGCTGGAGAGGAACCCAGCCCCACCCACTGCTGGTCCACAGATCACCCAAGGCTCCGTGAGCCTCCGGGGGACAGTCAGGACTTCCTGTGCTAGAATCTGACCTCACAGCCCAGGCCTGACCCCCACCTGCAAGTTGCCAATAGCTGGGGCAGGGTGGGCCCCAAGGGAGGCCCCCAGGGGACGGAGGTGGGCTCATTCTGGGAGCAGGGAAGGACGCATTAGGCCGTCCCACCAGGCAGGGTAAGAACAGGATAAACAAGAGTGAGCAGGAGTCCCGCCTGGTGCACAGCAGGGAGGGCGCGAACAAGATGATGGCGCACCTACAGCCAAGAAGGACTCTGGACAGACAGTTATGCGGACCGTGCCGGGGGCTGCCCCTCTGCCCCACATCTGGGGGCCTGCTTCCTCCCGGAGCACAAAATATCTATGCCCGGGACGGTGAGGACATGTGTAAGGCCAGGGACAGGCAGACAGAGGCCAGACACTGGACTAGGAGGGAACAAGGAAGGCAACAGGCACAGTGCATCCAGCAGGCACTCAATACCGGACACAGACGTTTTTCCCCCAAGGTCCCACCTGCAAGGTGAGGGGAGGGCACCTCTGGGAGCCCCTCTGGGGTAGTCCCTGTTGCCTGGCCTAGAGGAAAGTTCTAGAAAGGGCTGCCCCCACCCCTGTCTGCCATTGGGCTCCTGCACCCCAATGCCCATTCAAACCCAGTCCAGGGATGAGGGCCTGGGCAAGGGGCTGGGGTCTCCAACGGTAGATGCTGTGGGAGTCACCAGGAGAGGCCAGCCAGGCACTCAGACGACTTCCCACGTGGACTCGCCAGAGGGAGAAGCTGGCCATCAGGCAGCAAGGCGGGACAAGCACAGGGAAGCTGTGCAGCCCCAAGGAACCACCACCCCTCTGGCCTCTGGTCATGGCAAACCCAATCTCATGGCCCACATCAGGCATCTGCCCCTCCCCCTGGGCTGGCCCTGAAGGACTGCCAGGAACTGCGCCTCCCAGATGGGCCACCTGCCCTCCCTGCACCTGGACTGGGCCTCAGCCTGACATCTCAGAGCAGCTGCCACCTCCTCCCCTTGCTGCCAGCTCGGCCAGTTGCCAGACCCTGAGCAAGGAAGTCCCGCAGAACCGCAAGTATGCTGAGAAAAATGTGCTGTTCAGGCCACCCGCCAGGCATCCAAACCAGGGCTCCCAACATCCAGGACACGGTGGAGAGAGGTGAGGCCAGCAGCGTCCCTCCTCGGGACTCACCCCATCCTGCCCCCAGAAATATGTCATCGAGAGACATCTACTGACCAAAGGCCCGGGTCTCTATTCCGACCCCCTAGGACGGCTTCTCTGCTACTGCGGTCCCACTCTAGACGGAGTCATTGTCTCAGTCTCAAACCAGCAAGGACTCAAAAGACATTCTCTTTTTTTAATCAGCTTGACTTGACCCTTAAAAGCCCCACAGCGCCCTTGGTGCCGGGGGCCTCAGAATCTGAACACTCATTTCTAATCACTTTGAACAGGAACCGTGATTTCCACCAGCAAGGAAGCCCCACCCAGGCAGGCAGCAGGGCGACCTCCTGGCTCAGAGCGGTCCTTCAACCAGGCCCGCCCTCTTCCCCACTCTCCTCCCCGCCCTTCCCTGCACCCCCCGCAGCCGCCCTCCTGGCTTCTCCCCTACAAGCCGATGTGGTCCACGGCCCCTGGAGCTTCGGGCCACACAGGGCAGCCTCACCTGGGTGCAGTCCAGAGACCATGCCGGCCCCTACCTGTCTGTGGCTCTCCGTGAGCCTGTCCTGGTGGGGGCCGGCGCCCCCCCCCCCCCGGCCCTCCTGCTCTGCTCAGGGGCCCCACGGACTCAGCCCCTCAGGAAACACCCTCCATCCCGCGGCAGATGCCCCCACCCGCTCCTGCGGCCTGCTCCCCGCAGTCCGCCCCATCCCAGTCTCTCGCTCTTTCTGGGGACCGCCCCTTCCTCTCCAGCGGCACAGGCAAGCCCACTCGTCCCCCGGGGCGGACGCAGCGAGCCACCAGGCCGTGAGGGCCCCCCGTCAGCCAGCGCAGGGGCGCAGGGGTCGCGTCCTCACTCACCTCCCGCTGCTGCCCGCCCAACCTGTGGCCGCAGCCGCAAGGTCCGGCCCTGCGCTTTCCTCCAGTCTCTGAACCGCCCCCACATGCCGCCCCCAACCCAACGCCACAGGGAACCTGCCCCTGCCGCGCACTACCTGCGCCCTCCGCAGCGCCCTCTCCCCGCCGCACCTGGCCGCGAAGACCTGCCCCTCCCTGCTCCGCCCGCTCTGCGCCGGTGCCCACCTGCCCCGCCCCGCCCCGCCAGCCCGTCCCTGTCGGCCCCGCCCCCTACCCCGCCCCGCCCTGCAGCCCCGCCCTCCCCGCCTCTACTGGCCCTGCCCCCTCTGTCAATCCCACGCCGCCCCGCCCCCCCGCCCCTGCAGCCCCGCCCCCTGTCCCCGTCAACCCTTCGTCTCGCCCCTGCGACTCCCGCCCGCAGCTGCCCCTGCTTCTCAGCTGGGCGGCTCGGCTCTCACCCGGTTTCCTGGCAGACTCTGGGGGGCAGCGGCGGCCCCTCTCCCGGCCGCCCCCACCCGGCTCACGCCCCGCCTCACCCCGCCCTCCACGCGGGGACTCATCTGCTGAGCGGCGGACTCGCCAGGTTTGGGAAGGAGTCCGGGGGTCCAGCCCACACCGCACAGGTGCCCCTCGGCGCCCCAGGGGGCGGGCCTTCCCGCAGCGAGCCCGGCTGCGGCCCAGGTCCGACCCGTCGCAGGTGCCTGCAGGGGGCCACTGCGTTCCCGCGGGTCTCAGAGTTCACAGCCGAGCAAACCTAAGCCTTGAGTCAAAGCAAAGAACCCAACCGTGGTTCATCTGCTGGCCCAGGCACCCCGCAGCTGGGGACGGAGTTGGGGGAGGAGGTCTGCTCTGGATGGAAACGGCCCTCCTGAGCGCCCCGCCGGCAGGCCGACCGATCCTTCTGGAACAGGCTGGGCCGGCAGCAGAAGCAGCTGGCCGCTCCTCCAGTCTCCCCACTGCACACTCACCATTCGGTGCTCTGAGACCAGCCCGAGCCGGTACCGCGTTCTCCCCGGCCTGGCCGGGCCCAGACATGCTCAGCTCAGGCAGTCCCGGCCAGGCGCCGGTCGCACCAGCCAGGGACGCCCTTCACTTGTCCCTTCCCCTTCGTTTAAACTGAATCAAGCTGCTATCTGTGTATTAGCTGGATGCCTTCTTCCTACCTCTGACTGAGAGGAGCTCTGGGGAAGGAAGGGAGGGGTCCTTCTATGGTTTCAATCGACTTAGGTAACTGGGCAGAAAACATAACTTCTACATGAAATGGAGAGCTGCGATTGTTGTTTTTATGTATT